CTTTTACACTGTTGGTGGGACTGCAAACTAGTTCAACCATTGTGGAAGACAGTGTGGTGATTCCTCAAGGATCTAGAACTAGAGATACCATTTGACCCAGTCATCCCATTACTGGGTATATGCCCAAAGGCTTATAAATCATGCTGCTATAAAGACACATGAACACGTATGTTTATTGCGGCACTATTCATAATAGCAAAGACTTGGAGCGAACCCAAATATCCAACAATGATAGACTGGATTAAGAAAATGTGGCACATATACACCATGGAATACTATGCAGCCATAAAAAAGGATGAGTTCATGTCCTTTGTAGGGACATGGATGCAGCTGGAAACCATCATTCTCAGCAAACTATTGCAAGGACAGAAAACCAAACACTGCATGTTCTCACTCATAGGTGGGAATTGAACAATGAGAACAGTTGGACACAGGAAGGGGAACATGACACACTGGGGCCTGTCGTGGGGTGGGGGGAGTGGGGAGGGATAGCATGAGGAGATATACCTAATGTAAATGATGAGTTAATGGGTGCAGCACACCAACATGGCACATGTATACATATGTAACAAACCACGTTGTGCACATGTACCCTAGAACTTAAAGTATAATAAAAAAAATTAAACAACAACAACAACAAATCACTGTGTCAGTTTTCCTCACTGGACACCAGGGGATGATGACAGTATCTTCAGGGCTTATGTGAGGATCAAAACTCAAATGGGATATATCTTTACTTGTGAACTGAGGCAAGAATACCCCTACCCCTAGGCATTCACAGTAATATAGATATATATCAGATAGTATTAAAAGTATTGCATAGCCTTCTTGGCTTGTTAAATTTAGTGATTTGTAAGAAATATAAAAGATTACTTTATAACAAATAGAGATATATTTTCTTCTTGAATTTAACATACCAATTTTTAAGGTAAGAAATGAAACATGAATGACATACAATTTTATATATTTTATACACTTCCAGGTGTATAAATGTATTCTCTTATGACTTTAGGGATACTTTTGTGGAAATTTTTTAGAAACTCTGAACCAATTTTTAATTTGTAAATTGGTTATTATTATCTCAGGAAAATCCCAAGAAGGATGCAAGAAATTCCAATAATAGTAAATTGATTCAGGGTTTATAACGAGATTACCAGACTTTCTGAGAATTCTCTTTATGGCTGACTGGAAATACTAGGGAAGTCCTAGGTGATCTACAAACCCCTGAAAGAATCGTCTAGGTATTTAAAAGAACCCAGTCAAGAGGAATGATAGCACCTTTTTACCTTTACCTTTACCTCTATCATTTCAGTTCTCTTTTCACTGAAAACTACCACTTGCTACATTTACCATGTTTCAGGTAATGGGACTAGCAGTGTGCACACGTTATATATTTGACTTCTTACAACATCCCTATGAAGTAGATTTGTTATCTTTATTTTATAGAGGAATACTCTGTGGCAGAGACAAGTTACGTAACTTACCCAAGGTCACACAGCTGGCAAGTGCAAGAAAAGGAATTTAAACCAAGGTCTGTTTTTTTTGTTTTGTTTTGTTTTTGTTTTTGTTTTTTTTAACTCAAAGGCCCAAGAGCTGTTAGAGTTTCTAAGACAGAAAGGATTCTAAGTTATGAGGTATTGTATAGTTCCTTTCTCAACTGGCATCCATCTCAGAATCTTTAGACTCCACTCTAAAATTACCTCATTTACAACAGAAATTGCCTTCTCTTTGTTTTCTATACTTTTCTCTTCTATAAAGTTAATTTTTATACCTGTGCTCTGGTGTTGATATCTTCCTTTTTTTCTGTGAGAGCCAAAGCCATCAATTTTCCTCTTTCTTCAGAACAGTGATTCTCAAACCTTAACTTACTTGAAAATCACCTAGAGGGCTTGTTAACACAGATACCTGAGCCACATACCTAGTGTTTTTGATTCAGTAGGTCTGGGGTATGGAGAATTTCTCGTTCTAACAAATTGCTAACATACAGTGATGCACCTAGCCCAAAGACTGCACTTGGAGTACCACTGCTCTAGACTTTAGAGAAAAGGTTGGCAAATTACAAGCTAAGAAATGTTGTACATTTTTAAATGGTTAAAAAAATCACCATATTTTCTGACATGTGAACATTATATGAAATTCAATTTTAATGTTTATTAATAATAAAGTTTTATTGGAACACAGTATGTATTATCTGTTTAAATAGATATTTATGTAGGCTGCTTTCTCTCTACAACATTAAAATCGAGTAGTTGTGACAGAGATTGTATGGCTTACAAGCCTGAAATATTTATTATCTGGCCATTTACAGAATCAGTTTATTGACCCCTGCTCTAAGGCAGTAATTCTCAATCCTAGCTGGACACTGGAATCCCTTGGGGAGCCCTGTAAAATACGGAGGCCTAGGTCCCACCCTCAGAAATTCTGACTTAATTGGCCTGTAGTGCAACCTAGAGAATCCTTAACATATAAACATTCCTAATTTGTCCTATCTAAAGAAAACAAAACAAAAAGCAAGGCACCTAACAAAACTACTCTATCTACCTATAAGAAAGAACTAGATAGTCCAAACTCCTTATTTTATAGATGAGGGAAAAGATGTTTAGCAATAAGAATTATTTGTCCATATTAAAAGAGGTTGCTGCTGTTATTATATTTGTAACAAATTATAGTTGCGTATTGCTTTAATAATGAATTTTTTTTCTTTTTTACAATCCAGGTTGTATTTTTTAAAGTATTACATGTCCACTGTTAAAAATACAAACCAAATATATGTAGATAGGTTTAAATTCAGTGCATAAGGTGAAAATCAACTAGTCAAATTTTCTTAATAGCCACTTTTTCCATTTGGGAATCAAATAAAGTAGTTGGTTTGTATTTAAGGGCCATAGTTTAAGAACAGCATACATACACACTAGAGTTACATGCATTATCGAGAGATGTTCACATTCAGAGAGACACTCAGATATAAGATCAATTCAGAAACTGATAGATTCCTATTTCTCCTCTCACAATCATTCCCTGACTTTTGTTCATGGAGTACAATGACGTAAATCCCCTCACAGTTTCTAGTATTTCTTTATTCCCTATGTCTTTATTTCTCTCATTTACTGATGGGATAGTTGGATAAGTTGTTCTTTGTGAATGATTTTCCTATAGTATAGCGGTATAAAATGAAAACTGTCATGCATCCCTTCCTAAGCCAATGGCAACACTGTTAAAATTTTACACACACACACACCCCCCTACACCTCTACCTACAAGTGTATGTAAATATACAAATACCCTCATACAATATCAGCTCTTTTGCAACCTTATTTTTACATAAAATTTTATGTATAACTTGGATATTTTTCCACATAAGAATATGTGTATATATATCTTATATTTCTATGTTATGAATAAACTATAATTTTAAAAAATAAATTCCAAACTGATGGATATTTTAGAAACACATACACACACATATATCTGGGATAAATTCCTGAAAGTTGAATCACTACATCAAACGTAATTTGCCTTTTTAAATATTTGATAGATAATTCCAGATTACCTTCCAAAAAGTTTTTACCAATCAATGCATCTCCATTAATACTTGATGTGTCAATTTTAATAACATTTTCTAACTTATATTTTTTCTTAAATATGAGGTTGAGCATTTTTAATGTGTTTTGTAGTCTTTTCATGAATTACTACTTCATGTCCTTTGACTGCTTCATTCGGTTTTATATTTTCTCTTAGTGGTTTATGAAAGTTCTATGTATGTTAAGACAATTTCCCATGGAATGTGTTATAAATAGTTTCCCAGTTTGTTGTTTGTCATTGTGTATAACTTACCCAAGGAGAAGTTTTATATTTTCATATAGTCACAATTGTCTATCTTTTCTTGCACAGCTTCAGGCTCCTGTATTCCAATATTATACAAAATCAAATCTGTGTTTTCTTCTAATATGTTTACAGTTTCAGTTTTTATACTTGAATAATTGATCCATCCAGACTTTATTTTGATGGCAGGGTTCATCATTAATATTCTCATTGGACACTATGAGATACTTATTATCCTCATTTTACAAATGGGAATCTGGCATGGAAGTGATTTTCCCGGACTACTCACTTGCAGTATGGAAGCCTAGACTTACTCTATTGCCTACAAAAATATGTATGGGCAGTTATAACTTTCTTCTACTATAGCAAATGTTATTCTTCTTGCAGATATACTGTTCTGCTGAACTCTTTGCCTAAAAATATGGAATATTCTTTAGTGGGACATTGCCATTGTAGTTAATGCCCCATTTCCTGCATCTATAAAATGAGAGTAGTAAATTGGCTACCCTAGTCCACTTAAGAAAATTAGGCAGTAAATCTACAGGTATAGCCCTGGGATTTTGTAGGCTAGACAAGTATACTCAGGTGTTTTAAAGAAGTTTTTAAGGCTAAGGGCCTTTTAAAAAAAATGTATACATATTCCAATGGTATCTAAAGCCCTATTAGAAGTCCTCCCTGATTGCCTTGACAGGGAATCCTACATGTACTTTTTCACTTGTGACTTGTTTCATTGAATCCTTGCTTGTGAACTGCTCTGAGATTTGTAACATTTTCTCGTTCTTCTTTTTGATCTTTCTCTCCTGGGACATCCAAATATCCCAGCAACTACTAAATAAAATAATATTAATAACATATGTAAATTTCCTTTTCCCCACTTCCAATGGAAAAAAAAATGATACTTACTCACAGGTTGAATAAAGTAGGTTTTTAAAAATTCCTCTGAATCCGCAGTGGAGAAAGGCATTTTTAAGTTCTCCTATGTTTTCCATGGCATTGAGTTGTTATTTTTGGGTTCATTTATTAGGAAGAGCTGCAGGAAATGTGACCTGCTATAAATCTTGGGAGGGGAAAGTGTTATTAACTGAAATGCTCAGTTTTGCATTTAAGGTTCGTAAAAAAAAAAAAAACAAAAATAAAAGAAAAAAAAAAAAAAAGTTGTGGAATGATGAGAGCTGGGCATCCATGTAGATTTTTTAATGTCCTGGAAGTCACTGGTTGTGTTGTAAGTGCTTACAATTTGTAATTACCTAGGCTCCTAAGACAGACGGAACTGGAAATCAAAATAAGTGGCTGCCTTCTCTTACGATGCCAAAGGATCTCCAGCTTAGGATAAGATTGCCTCTTTCTTCCTAAAAAAAGGCACAAACAATGACAGCCCAAAATAGCTATTTAGTCAGAACTGACGACACTTTCTGAATGCTTGTCATTAGAGAGAAATAGAAAATCCTGCTTTTCTTCTTCCTTTAATTTCTCTCCCTTAAATACCTTGCTTCCTCCTGAAGCTGCCTCACCTCATTGCCCAGGAGAAATGCCCAGTAACTCTGATGGTGCTTCAGCACTACTGCAGGCTCCAGAGGGGAGGTGGCTTATACAAAACATATTAAAGAAAAATCCTAAAAGTCACTGCAGCTTTTTCTAGTGAGTTATGCTGATCTTCCCTGTTGCTGGAAGCTGATGGGGAGCATCATGGCAAAGACATAACCACTTTTTTTTTCCTCCCACTATTTTTGCTGCAGTGAGAACTGTTCATTTCTGCTTGCATTTTGCCAGATAGCTTTAGAATTCTAGCTGAGAATTAGGGCTTCCCAAGGCTGGAAATAAGGGTATAGCACCCTAAATTGTACTTTGTCCTTTTGATTAAGTACAAATTGAGTTAATTTGCAGCATCCGGTGCCTGGCAGGAATGACAACAGACAGAAGGCTCTGACGGATGTTTTTAAGTTTTTTTCTTTTTTTTCCTTATGGATTTATAGGGACAGAAGCTTTTATTTTTCTCTCTTGCTCTCTCCCTTCCGGAGCCTGCTGAACATTTTACATTCAGCAGCAGTTGCTACTGAATCTGAGGTTATGTTATCCCCTGGAATCTTCTGTTTCCATTTCAACCCCATCTCATTACTGATTGTCATTTACCAATAAAACATAGTTTTGGAAAATTGGCCACATCGTTTTATTATGGAGTCTAGCAACTTTAGATAGCCCTAAAAGATGTAACAGGGCAGGGAAGTAGGAGAAGGTGGTACTTCTCAGTCCTGTAACCACAGATCACCCCAGAGGAACCCAGTTCACATTTTAGGGGACTTTATGTGACAATGATCCTTTGGTCCTAGTCCTATTCCACATGGAGAAGCAGAATGAGACATGTTTGCAGTGATTTGTAGTATTTGCCAAACAGGGTGCTGCACCAGAATAGCCTGGAATATAGTGCAGAGCTCATATTAAACCTCCAAAGGGAAAAGGGTTTCCTCTTCATTTACAGTCTGCCTGATGCGATCCCATTGTAAAGTGTTTAATAGGATAACACTAGGGCTCTCCAGAAATATGAGTAACTCATTGGTTAAATTTCAATTCTTCACCTTTCCCCCCCTCCTTCCTGAGTGAGCTCATTCCCCCCTCCTTCTTTTTTTTTTTTTTTTTTTTTTTTTAAATCCAGTGATTTAAAATGCTGGAAGGAAAAGCAACTGAGGTCTTAACTTTCAGACGCTGAATTCTCATCTAATTGAAATTACTGGGCATAATGCTATATATAGCCAATGAAGAGATTTTGAGCTCTCACTCAGTGCCTTCAAGACATGTCGTTTTGTAGTCAGAGAAAACAGAGATCAATGCATTTTCAAACTGACAGAGGGAACGGATGCTCTTTAGTAGCACATGCCCAGGATCGTGTGTGTGGGGCTTGCGCTGTGCTGAGAAGCTGAATACCGGTCCATATGCTCCTTATTTACTGCAATGTTCTTTGCATGTTACTGTGCACTCCGGACTAACGTGAAGGTAAGAGGAAGCGAGCCGGCAACTGGGCACAATATACATGTTAAACCAGCTGCAGAAAATGTCTACCTTGTGTAGCTTCAGGACTTTTCGGATTGCTGGCTGAGCAGGCAGATTATTACAGGTGGTTGCAAAGGCTTTGTTTTATTGTTGCCGTGCAGCCTCGCTGGGGGAGCATGTTGGAACGCTGCTGTGAAGTGACCTTCAGGTTTAACTGTTTGTAATTCAGGTTCACGCTCATAGTTGGGGGGTGGAGAGGGGGGAGGAAAAGATGAAAATTATTTAGGTAGGCCAGAACCAAGAAATCAGAGAAGGTAAAAAGCTATAGAGCATGCTTTGAATTATGATTTAGTCTTTCTTTTAAAAAGTGCTGTGAGCTTCCTGTGTTCTTGCAGCTGAATTGTTTAAGAGCCGGGGGATTAAATCTAGTGACTGTAATGGCATTAGATGTGATCTGTGGGACACCTGACCATCCTGTGCATATCAACAAATGATTTTCACTGGGAATTGCCGATATTGATCATACAAATCATCAGCTCTGGGTGGGCTGGTTGCTTCAGTTGCGTGGGTGCTGCTGTCCCGCTGTTGTCACCCCACTGACATTCACTTGCTGTAGCTAATGAGCCTCTGAAGTTGAGCCCAAGTTTGGGAGATTTACCCCCTGTCACGAACAGGGCATTATTATTGAGAAGGTTTTCTGACACTGTGTTCATTCAGCACTGAGCCGGCCAGACCAGCTGTGGAATTCCAGTTGCATCATTTAAGTGAATTACATCCTTGGTTAACATTTTGAGCTTATATTTCTTGTAGAAGGAAGTCCAAAAGGAAAGTGATTGCCTTTGAGAAAAAAAAATTAAGAGGCAGTTAAGACTACCTAAAATAAGAATCTTTTTTTTTTTTAGTCAATATAAAGTGTTTCCCCCTTTTATTTTACTAGGGGAGTGTTTTAATGTGTCTGGATACTAAAGTTTCATTTTCTGTGTTTACAAGTTTTATTAAAGAACTCCCTGCTGCTCACTCTTTTGTAAGCTTTTTTATTTCCTATTTGAATTTCAAACAGGTAGTATTTACGTTTTGATGACCAATTCTTTTACAACTACAACGTGGAAGCATTCTGTGGATCATTTTGCAGAGTTCTATAGAATTTACTTTTTGCTACTTTTAAAATGAACTTTAGTAGTCAATTTTCCTCCATGTATAAGATGTAGACAGTAAACAACATGAAAAAAATAATTAAAAATATGAAAAGTGTGCCCAAATTTCATCTTGGATTTCTCTATTATCATCTCCTGTTCCAAAGTATGGGTATGGCATGCATTGTTTTGCAAGCTCAGTAAATTGTAAATGTTTTCCCTCCTCATCTTTTTGAAAGGCGAAAAGTACTTTATTCAGAGGAAGCTACATAAATAATTTAGATAAAGAGATAACAATTGTTTTGCTATTTCATTGTTATATTTTGGAAGTGCAGGAAAACTTAAGTCCAAAGTTCCTTTCATAATGGGCTTTGGGAAATTTCTTTTTACTCTAACCTACTAATAGTTGTCTTTATGAATTTAGCTTTACATTTTTCTCATTTAAATTCATAAGCAAAGTAATAAAAGCTTCACTAACAATATCTTAACTAAATTCAGATTACTTTTGAATAATAAATTCCTAGTACTTTGGCTAATCTGTACTAAGATATAGATACTTCTTATGTATTGATTGATAGAAATTGAGACCATATGCATTGCCACATACATATATAACCTTCCTTTGAGCAGATTAGTTTTAATTTTAATTATGCTTCTATCTTTTCAGTAATTAGCTCTTGCACTTCCTTAAATAATTCATAATTTTTTAGGGTTATCTTGTCTTTCTGAGATAGCAAGTTTTGCCAAAGAGTTTGCAGTTCATTTGTGGTCTGTTATTTTATCACATTGGTGCAATAAAGTCTCATCTAATATTTTTATCTATTTTGATTTTTGTTTTAGTTTATTTATATTACATTTTAAAAGTGTTTGCTTTTATTTCTATTGTTATAAGAACTACTTATTTCCTTGGTTCTGCCAAATTCTTTCTTATTGTATATAGTTTCTCATGTTTGCCATGATTTAACATGATTCTTGTTACAGTTACCCAAAACTTCAAGGTGGTTAAAATTCAAAGGATGGAAACATTTCTTGTCTTTTTTTATTTTTTCTTTGCACACAATAGACCACTAATGTCACAGTGTTTTATTCTAGAATAAACTTTTTTGTTAATTGGACCTTTATAAAATATAACAAAGAATTTTATTGAGAGTGGTGTTTTAAGATATTTTATATGTTTTTATGTAACAAATCCACATACACACATACACACACACACACACACACATACACACACATGTATATTTACAGATGTCAGAATGTGACTCCTGGGTCACCATTTATTCATTTATCTATTACAATTTTTTGAATGACATCTATGATTTATGCTCTATGCTAGAGTCTTGGAAACTAAGATAAATAGAAACAGTGCTTGCTTTTAAGAAGTTTCCAGTTAGAAAAAGACACAGACTATAAACAAAGAAATGCTTTGAAGTATTTCTGACCCATAATGGACATCTATGCAGGGCGTTATTGTAGGAGAAAGAGACAAGTAAACAAAACAAACAAACAAAATCACAGGCTAATTTTACCTGGACTAATCAAGAAAGGTTTTGCTGTGAGGTCACTTTTAAGTTGAATCTTGACAGCTAATGGACTTTTGCCAAGAATCTTGGAGTAAAGAAGGCATGCTGGGTAAAGGGAGTGGCGAAAGCATAGAGCTAAGACGCAGAGCACTTCAAAGAGCTACAAATAGTTTGAAATGGTTAGAACATGGGTTCTTACAAGGCTGAAGAGTGAAATAATGGGGTAAATCATAAAGGAAAGATAAACTAAAGCTGTGAGAATTGACTGAGTGGTCTTCACAATCTAACTCTTTGGAAATTGTGTTAGTTTGCTACCTATTTTCTAGGAGAGCTTTCAACAGAAGGAAATGAAATGAATGAAAACTTCTAGTCAATGGCCATTATTTATGTCCTGTGTTTTCCTGTTAGTTTTAAATAGAGTTTGCTAAAGATTCACATTACATTGGCTTTAGTTTTTATTTTAACTTTTTACAAAATATGATTAGAACAGTTTAGTTTTAGTCTACTCACTAAAAAGAAGCAATGTGATCATCATGTACACAGGTAGTTTAGTTTCCATCTGAAATTGTCTATATGAAAAGTGCCTCTTTAATGAGAAAATATACAGGAAGCTTGTTGCATCAGATGTCTGTATCATTTTTGTCTTTGGAAATGGATCTATTTTTGAAGGTAATGATACTGATGACAATTTTTGAAATAATTTTATCTTCCTCATCTCACTATTTCCCTTTTTTCATTGCTACTACAAACATACCCACATGTACATTCACAAACCCACAATCCCTGAAATATGAATTGCAAGTATTAGACCTATAGCACAGGTAAGAAAACTGAGGTAGAGAGAGGAAATGACTAGTTACTCAGTTCCACAGAGTGTCAGAGCAGAATCTCTTGAGCGTTGACTTATTACTCTTTCGAGTAAATCCTGCTGCCTACTGCATAAATTCTAGAATTCTGCTCCTTTATTTTTAAAATTTGCTAGCGTAAATATAAAATCTTTTAAGAAAAAGACTGTAACAGAATGGTTTTAAAGTATGGATTTTTGGGATTTCAAAATAACTACATTTGAACTTGTCTTCCCCATTTATTGCATAGCTTAAGAAAGTTTAGTTTTTTCTCATCTGTAAAAAGAAGTATAATAATAGCTCTTAGCTATTATAAGTAGTATGTTAGATAAGGCATGTGAACACTATAAAAAGTTCTTAGACTATAGTAATATCTCAATCAATTTAACCTATCATTGAAAAACAAAGATCGCCAAGTGACAGTAAGGCTTCAGAATTGCCTTCAGTAAGAATCACGTTAGAAATTGAGCTCAATTAAAATATATCTATAAGTAATGAGAAACACATTTAGGTATAATATTTCCTGTCCCACCATAATAACCATCACAATGACACATATGCATATTCACATGTTAGCTCCATGGAACCTGGAGTTCTAGTTGTTTTGTTCACCTTTATATCGTCAGCACAAAGAACAATGGTAAGTACATTGTAGGTACTCAAGAGATACTTTAAAAGAATGCATTAACTGAGTCTCAGATTTCTTTTTTATTCACTCAGCTTCTTTTCACATTATTTGTTTATGTTAATGCTGGTTAAATTATTTTGAGAGAAAGAAAAAAGGGAAGAAAAAACCTCGTAGCCTTTGAAGTCATATAGGCTTCAGTTTGAATCGTACTGGATTTGCCAATCGCAAACCACTTACACTAAGTCACGTACTCTTTTGGATCTGCTCAACCAGGTTGTAGAGCTAGTTTGGAGGGAATCAATAATTCACACTAAAACAATGTATTGAAGCCTAAACACTCTAGAATTCAGACATTTATCATGTTAATTTTCACCAGGTTTATTCAGTGAAATTGCTGTTTACCAAACTCCCCCACTTTCTGCCCCGATCATTTTCTGGAATTGTTTTCCTGTGATGGGAATCCTTTCTCTGCATTGTCCATATTTGTCTAAATTCTCTCCTTCCTTTAATAAATGGTATAAGGTGTCTATATTCCAAGGACTGGAACCCAGTCACACTAACTCCAATGCTTTATCTCTCCTTTAACTTAGTGAGTACAATTTCTCTATCATTTATGGCAATACATCTTCTACTGCCTTATATCATAACTTGCATTATTATTTTACACTGATAGTTAATTTTGCTTATGTTTGGGTATTTCCCTCACCCCAACAAAATTTTAAGAATTTTGCAGACAGGAACTATAAACTATTTTCTTAATTTTTTTCTTACAGTTTATTCATATTTAGGGATTCAAAAAATGATCAGTGGACTAACTGAAAAGGAAACTTCCAGAAACTCTGTCTCCTTATGCTGCTGACACCTACTCTTTGCT